GGGGGCGGTAAAACCCACAGCTACTCATTCTTGTCTGGGTTAAATTGAAGCCTCTTCTTCCCCATCTGGATCCTCTCCAGCATCCAGGAAAATACCAAGACAGATTGCGGTTGAGCACTGATAGTACTTATCCTTGGACTGACCCATCCTGAGCCTACATCAAATAGCGCAACCAAAAAGGGAAGGGTGGAGACTGGATGAAAATTGTCCAGTTCCACTACATCTAGTGATGGCTTCATGAGAAGGGTCAAGAGCAGCACCTCCTTCAGAGCTGGTAGAACCAAACCCTCTCTTAAGGATGCATTCACCACTGCATGGATCTAACTGCATGTCACCTTCCTAGAGGTCAATCAACCAGGAGGGACATGTATTTAAAATACAGGAAGCCACGCTCAGAAAACTTCTAAGCAACTTTATATGACAAATGCCTAGAGTAGTCCTCATGGTGGCCTAGTAGGTGCTTCCCTGGTCCCTCCCCCACCCAGTACTGATTGGGTCACCTTAAATAAGGCTGCTGGCTGGCAATCTGCAGATGCAATGAGAGCAGTGAAATAATCACAAATTTCATACATAAAGCCTAGATTCATGCATGTGTGTTACAGTACCAAATGGCTGTGCCTGGGCATCAGAGACAAGATAGATTCCCTTCCTGGCTGGGATCACTCTTATATGTCTGGGTACAGGCATATCAATTTCACTTTGTAAAATTAGCTTTTGGTATGGAGAAATCTGCTTAAAATGATGTGAGTGGAGAAATTTTGAACTCTCTTCAGCCCGTTTGATTTGCACATTCAAGGGATGTACTAGAGCTAAACCAGAAGGTGGATCAGACGGTGGCCTACACTTGTTCTTATGGTTGTAGTACAAACCCAACCTTGACTGATCTTAAAAAGCCAAGCAGGATAAGATCAAATTTATATTTTGATGTGAGATCGGTAGGAAATCTTAGAGCTGTAGGCTACAGGGGGAAGTTGAAAAAACATCCTGGAAGAAGGCAATGGCAAAAACTTCTGTAGTGTTGCCAAAGAAGACTACATGGATGTGTCCAACAAGTCACCAGGAGTTGAACTCAATCCAAAGGTTTCTTTACCCCTTCAGACTGCTTTCAAAAGAAATGAATGTTTGACAACCCCCCAAATTATGGGAAAAATGACTAATCTCAAATTTTACATTTAAAAAATATTTGAACATTCTGATTCACCTCTGAGTCTCCTTCCTTTGCAATACGAAACAGTGCAGCCTTGCTTTTATAGACCGGCTTGAATTCAAAAAGCCAATAACCCCCACCAAGATCAATATCTCTTCACTTGCCTGCATTTACATCCTACAGCAATGCCATTGTGTAGCTTGGAAAATACCATGTTTGTACAATTAGCAAAAAATACTTACCAAGTGATTGGACACTGGAAATGCATACTTTGTCAAGTTTTCAAATATGGATCTTCTTGTGCGACCTTCAGGTCTGTGAGCAAACCGAAGATTCCGAACATCCTACAGAACATAAGGCAAAACTGGGTCTTACCAGAAGCCCAGCAGTATGCCATACTGATTCATTAACTGAGAAATTATTTTATCGATTGCTTCCAAATTCTCCCTCGTGAATGTAGGCAACAATGGTCTCTAAACTCCAAAAATGTTTAACTTAAATGAATTTCATTATTTAAAATTATTATACCTTAAAAAAGTAAAACCAGAGTAGTGGTGGATTCTTCCACTGGGCAGTGGGTTGAATTAGATGATCTTCAAAGTCATTTCCAACCCTTACATTTTATGATTATATGAACTTTTTGTCAACATGCACTATTGAAGGCCATTAAGACCATTACAAGTCATTGCTATGGATCATGAATCCAACATCTGCCCATTCTTGATAAACCAGTTTACCTTGCACACAATTTCTAGGCCATATGAATTTTCACCACGGCTAGAAGCTCCTCCAATTTTCTCTACTCTGTTAATCACTCCGAGAGGGCCATCTAGAACAAATGGAGGGTCCTGGAGGAAATGAAAATATATTAATAAAGCATCAAAACCAAAGAATTATTTTTATACAGAGCTTGGAGTAGCCAAGGGTTTGATGTTTTGATAGTTAGGCATGCAATAAAGTAACAAACATATTCAAAGAGTCTGGGGATACCTTTAAGATGAATGCATTAATTACTATATACATCTTTATTAGATTTATATTCCACCATTCCTCAGAGAGGTCAAAGTGGATAGCGTAGGATCTGTTTTCATTTTATCGCCAAAACAACATCCCTGTGAAGTATGGTGGTCTGAGAGAGAGGGACTGGCCAAAGTCACTCAGTAAGTTTCCACGGCTGAGGGCTGATGAACTTGAGTCTCCCCAGTCTTAGTCCAACCCCTCAATGGCTACTCAGCACGTGGTATATATTTCCCTTTGTACAGTCCATTTCAACACAGGACAGTTGTTACAAAAGCTTATGGTATAAGAAAATGCAGTGTTTAAAGTGGCTGTTTTGTTATAATAGCCTAACATGGAAACATGAATATTACAGCTGTGCTTTGAAGTGTGCAAGAGCGCCTGCACCTTCTTATGGCTATCATGAATTTTGCCATCATGGTGCAAAAAATAAAGCAGTTGCTTTTTGGAGACTGAATCCAAAGTGTTGCACAGCCCTATGAACAGGGTCGTTGATGAATATCCAGTACAAGCTCTGGTTCATTTAGCCCATGTTTGTCTACACTGCTGGCAATGGCTCTCCAGTGCTTCACAGGTGAGTTTTTCCTTCCCCCCCTTTTATTATATCGTTGTAAATCTTGATACATTATATTGTTTCAATACAAGGATATTTATGCAGTAATAATTAAAAATTACTGACATTCTATTGTTTAGATAACTTAGAGTAGTGTTTCTTAAAGTGTGGTCCTAGGACCCCTGGGGGTCCCCCAAGACCCCCTCAGGGGTCCTCAAAATCAAAATTATTTGCCAGCCTATGCTGAAAAATAATACAATATTAAAATCCCATCAAACAATGGTGAGAAGCGATAGTGACAGCAAATGCACCCATTTTAATTTTTAATATGGTAAATATAGATAAATAGAACCATGCAAACAAAAGCCCCTTTTTGGTCCTCCATAATTTTTAAGGGTAGAAAGGGGTCCTGAGAGAAAAAAGTTTAAGAAATACTGACTTAGAGCACTGGAAAACAAGAAAAGAGAATGAAATATTCTATTAATATTAATGACAATGTAGGATGTTGATATTACAAGCATAACATTATTTGACTTTTTCATCCAAAGTTGAGTATAACATTAGGAAAAAAGAAACTGCTGCATCGAAGTATTTGTGGTACAATAAAAAAAAAATGGTTCTGAGCTGATTACTTAATGTTGAAGTCTCCATTGTATAATTGCTTAATATATATGCATGTGAGGTTTTATAACTCCAACTGGAAAGGCAGAACATTCCATCACAGCTCACAGAGCTATACTGAGCTATGCCCCCCCCTTCAAATAATAGCTAAGAAGCCGTCAAAAACAAGAAAAAGTAAAAAGCAATTTATTAAGCCTTACCCTTTCCATGCTTTTAAAATATAGTCTGTAATTTGTAACTGTCAAAGTTCCTCGAATAGCTCCAGTAAATGGGCAGATATGAGTAACATCTTTTGCTAGGAAAGAAATTAGAAGTATTATAAATATTTCCACAGGGAACCATTGCCACGAGGTTTAAATTTTTTTTTTTCCCCTGTCTTTCTGAGATGAAACAAGCATAACTCTGGATTTATGCCCACTGGGGAAGGGAAAAATAAGAGCTTCTTCTCAGTACTTCTGCAGTTTGGTATGGAGAAGTGTGTTGGGTTATGAAACATTAACCAAAGAAGAATGACACAGGATTTTAAACTTCGTGGCAGGAAAAAATAAATACAGTCTGACATTATTGTTTTATGGACAGATTTGAGAATGAGAGAGGCATAGAGTTTGGAATTATTTCCCCTGGAATCTCTGACAAAATGCTTAACCTTTAAACTTTTCCTCAAACCTGAAGTTATTTTAATGAGCCCCATGCACAGCTAGAACCAGAGCAGTAATTCATATAAACAAAGACCTGAAGCCAACTATCTCTAGCAGGAGCTCTTATTCAAATGCCCAGCCACTCTGTTTCATTCATCTTCCAGTTTTCTAGTTCTACCCCATCTATCCTACACTCCAAGTGAACTAATTCTCAAAGGTCACCAAGGAGGTTCCAGTCCTCAATAGACTGTTCGGTCTTCTGACTTTATGACATTTTAAAACTTTCTTTTTTTTTTAAAGAAATGCAGTTTGCTCTTCCATTTCTGAAAATCTTGTCTAGCAGCACTTCTCTTCTTGTGCCTGGATGGTATCATTTTATATATACAGTACCAGCACTTACATAATAGCATCCTCTATCAGTACATATCAGTGGTAGGGAACCTGTTTGGGATTTTCAGCCAAAATACCTCTACACCAGCACACTGAAGCCCAAATACCAGTGGTGGGTCAGTCTCTACCTTATTAAGCATGGCTAACCCTCTGCGGGCATACAGCTCTTGCCACTTAATCATCTACACATTGTTACTTAGCTTTTATTCAGGCACACTTATAGTCCTGAAAATCTACCCCCTTCCAGTTAAGATTAAGCTTCCAAAGATTTATTTTAAATCATGCTAGTCATTTGGGGCAGGATTTTGGGAAGGAGAGACTAGGTCCATACACTCATCTTGTACACATGCCAATCAAACTCCAAAATGGATTTCACTGATATTGATAGATATTACAGGTGGTCCTCAGCTAATGACCACTTGTTCAGCGACTATTCGAACTTATAATGGTGCTGAACAAGTAGTTCTGATGACCAGTCCTTGAAGTTCTGGCCATTGCAGTGCCCCTGCAGTCATGTGATTGCGATCCAGGCACGCAGCAACAAGCCTGGATTTCCAACCATCACAGCATCCCATGGTCATGTGATGACAATTTGCAGCCTTTCCTGCCGGCTTCCCACAAGCAAAATCAACAGGGAAGCTGGCAGGAAGTCGGAAGTCACAGTCATGTGAGGTCCTCGCTTAATGACCTGCAGTGATTAGCTTAGTGACAGTACCTGGGAACTGCCAGAATTGCTGTTGCTAAGCAGCGCGGTCATGTGATGTCATACTTTATGACTGCATCACTTAGCGATGGAAATTCCAGTCCCAATGACTGTTGTTAAGCGAGGATTACCTGTATTTTAAATAATAAGTGAGAAGATTCCACACCTCCTACCCCCAAGGAGAAAACATTGGAAAGTTGAACGTCAGCCTTTCCCTTGCCAGCGAAGTTCCCACTTTTAAAAATGCCCCCTGCCCTCTTAAAGCAATCTCCATGATCTTTAACAGAGGCTGCTTTCTCAGAGAATGGTCTTACTTTGGGCCATGTGCTTAATGGGAATAAGAGCTTCCCTATTAGAGAGCCAGAGTGTGGGCAAAAAGCAAATAGTGAAATAGAGACTCTCCCCAGGGGTTCCCATGTCTGAAATTTAGATATAAGGATCAAACTGTTGCAATTTACTTTGGCGAGAAAATGCAAAGAGAAATAGCTGTACCTACCCATGTCCTTAATAGTTTCTCCTGGTAGCAAAGGGGGCTCTTCCATTTCAGCTAATTTATTAGCTTCTCTGAGGACCTGAAGCACAAACAAAATATCAGGTGCATTAACCTTCAATACTTACAGATCAACCATTTGAAACTTACCCCACAAGAGAATAATAAGAAAAAAATGTAAGCCCAACCAGCAAGGCTTGACATGAAGGTCTGTCTCCTGCACTCAGTTTCAACGTGCCTGATGCAGAACTTCTAGGAAAACCTACAAGATGGGAGATGTTGTTTTCTTGGGGTGGTGCCCATAGGATGAAATTCCTTGCCCCCGCAAACCTGATCAGTTCCTAATTGGTTAGGTTCCAGGAAATTATTTTAAAAAGGTCTGTTTAAGACCCCTTTGACGTATAGATGCTGCCAACTTTTTAATAGTTTTTTTATTCAAAGTTTTATAATTTTATCAGTGGTTTAGTTATTGTTACAGTATGTAAATTATTTATACCGTGGAAATTGTAAGCGGCTGAGATTGTGACTGGTAAAAAAAAATCAAATGAATCAACGGATCAAATGAACATATCATATCATATCATATCATATCTATGAATGCTGGAATTAATCAATTAACTGTATCTTAAAATAAAACTTCTGGCCTATTCAACTAAGTAGATAGGAACATTTTTTCTTACAAAACTAAGGAAGGTCTTCCTGAGGAAGACCAGAGAAATTTTGGCAACAGGAAAAGAGCATAATTTAGACTCTCTTGAGTTTTTTTTGGGTTCTGGTGATTTTTTTGCCCCCAAATAGAAAAATATTTTTAGCCTTGCTCCCGTTTTGTAAAAGCAGTAGATAAAAGCAGCATATTTGTATCTGTATAAGGTCATTATATCTTACAATATACAGGATTCCTGCAAGTTCCTGTGTGAAAACCTCTATAGTTTTCACATAAAACTAGCTAATGATAACGCTATTTTATTAGCGTAAAAGTGCTTTTACTTATTTTTTTGGTGAAGATTAAAGAAACAGATGTGGTGAATAACTGAGCTTGGAATGACCGAAGCCAGAAAAAAGTCACTAATCCTATAGAAAAATCATTCATTAAAATCTTTTTGGCATTACATGAGGGAGAAAGAAAACAAATTAAATAAAGTAGAAACACTATAGGCAGATAGGACATTTTACAATGATGCAAATGGAAAAACTGTAAAGCCAGCCAACCTGACAGTCCAGACACTGAATACTGAGCATTGAAAACTGGTCCCAAAAGGAAATCTTGCCCCGTGCATTGAAATAATAGAAACTGCTAATATTTAAAATCTTACAGCACACTTCATTTTTTAGGCAAAGCTTGGTGGTCTGGCTTTAAGAGTACAAATGCCTTCTAGAGAAATCATATTCTTTTTGAATTTCATTTTAACGTTTACTTAGATCACTGATTGCAGAAATGCTCTGCCCGCCCTGAGGTTCCAGGATTGCAGACCCTCCCACCCACAGTAACCATGGATGTGACAGACCCCTCCACAAATTACTGCCCAATTGTAATTTTTTACATAAAATAACCCTGCTATACCCCAAGTGATTATTTACTTGATTTAGCCTGCCTTTCCTTTAGCAGCTCAAGGGGGCTCACAATGTGCTTCTTCCTCCTCTTTTTGCCCACAAGAACCCTGTCAGGTAGGCTGGGCTGAGAGAGGTACTGGCCCAAAGCCACCCAGCTGGGTTCCATGCCTAATGGAGGATTAGAACCTGGGTCTCCTGGGCGTTAGTCCTACACCACATAGCTGTCTTGGTGAATGCTTGTACAAACAGAAATAGTGCTAGTGGAGAGCTTCCCATTCATTTATACAGCCAGACTTTACACCAAGGAGTAAGGAATCTGAAGCTTGTGGGCTGCAAGTTCCCCATGAGACCCTGTTTTGGGGGCCTCTGGAACTGCTTTGTCCACAAGAATTAACACCTTGGGGCAGTTTCCTGCCATTTCCAGGCAAGAACAAAGTGGTAATGCACACCTTGAAACAGGCTTCACCTGGCTTTCACAGCCTGTGGCTCTGCCCCAGGGCTTGCATCACTGCTCCACCCACTGCAGCCCTCCCCCTTCCCCAAATACTAAGTAGAGCCCCTACCACTCTCCCCCCTGCCAAGTTCCCCACTGTACTTTTGGCAAGCACCATTTTTTTCATGAAGAAGGTACAAAGTAGGCAATGCCCAAGGAAGCACAACCCCCCCCCAAAACCCTCAGCCTTTAATATTTCACAGATGTGCCTACTGTGCCAATGAGTTCCCTGTTTTCTCTTATTTGGCCCATTTGGGCATGTGTCTCAGTTGTTCTGTTCTTCTGAACGCTCTCCCCCCATCACTTCCCTAAGTCTGGGGCAATCCAAGAGGACGCATATATCAAAGATGGTATCTGTGACTATGCAATCCAAGTCCTGCCCACTTTTATTCGCAGCATGTAAAAAATGCACAGGATTTCAAATGTGTGGCTCTGGCTGCCATCTTGACCTTTTTGACCTCCCCCGGATTGGATGCCCCTGACCCAAGAGTTTTCATGAAGGTTTCTTTCCCCAGGAGAAATTGAGGGGTAGACCTTACTGCTGAGTAGAAAAGAGACTACATTACCATTAGACATCTGCTTGTTTAATCATGGGGGATAAAACCCCATGATTAAATATATAGCTGCATTCACGTTACGTTAAACCACAGGCCTCAATTCCCCCTTAAGTCTTCTTCCTTCCATGCAGCTGTGAGAACAAGTTTGCCATCTTCTACATCAGTTCTTAGTTAATCACAGTTTGCCAGCGTGGCTTGACTTGATGCACTCACACACTGCATTAAGCCATGATTTGTGCTAAGTGTGCATGGTGAGCCAGCCATAGTAGTCTGGTTCACATAAGCTATTAAGCTATAAACCATGGCTTACAAATCACGACAACTGGTGTCATAGCCCCAATCCCAACAAAGCACATGATGACTTAGCAGAATACATAACTTCAGGCACCACGGTTTACCTAAATTATTATAATTAGTCAGTTGTATTATCAGCGGTGCCATCTGCCATGTCCAGTTGTGGTTTGCCAAAATGAAACATAAAACCTTCCAAAACACTCTTCCCAGCTGTATGGAAAGGGGATGAGGCGAGGGTGTGATCCTGAAGCTTAATGTGGCTTTTGTAAAATAATGAAAAGTTTTCACCATGGTTTGTTTAACCACAGTTTGCTGAATAAGCTACAATAGGCTGGGTTTGTACAGCATGTTAAGCCATAAAATATATTTTATGAAGCAAAATGCCTAGGTTCCATACAATATACTAGGCTGGAACCAAATAAAAGTATTATGTTTTAGTACATTGTGTATATAAATGAATATAAAATGGATATAAATTTATCCATTTATATAAATGGATATAAAATGAAGACTTGGTATACAGAGTCAATTGTCCAGTGATTCTCACAAACCGACTCTGCAATGACTTCATCATCTTTCTCCATTCTATTCCGCATTTGCTCAATTTCTCCTTTATATAACACTTCACCTTCAGGAATTACATAGCTTAATTTTTAAAATCCTTTCTTCAAAAGCATTCTTTTTAAAGTTCAAATCATACTCTGTACCCCCTCCACCTTACCAGTTAACAAAATGCATCACGCCAAGAAGAGAGACCCATTTTCTGAAGCAGCGAAGTAGACAATTTTAGCTTCTCGAATGATAAATTAGCAAGGCATTGAGAAAAATCAATGCAAACTTACTATTTCAACATTAAAAAAAAAAAGAAGTGTTCTTCTGCAGACTAGAAAGACTAGTGGATTATTTAGGGATGACTGTTTTACTGATGAACTTATAGGTGTTAAATTATGAATTATTGTTAAATTAAATTATGGGTGGTTACCAGCATCTCTGAAAAATTCAAGTGAGGAAAGAGGAATTATTTTTACACTTGTTCCAAAATGCACTGCAGGCATTTGACAAAACCTGGATTTGTCATATGATGACAGAAGAATAAGCTCCCTTACCCACACATGCTTTGCAAAGCAAAGATTGTAGCTAGGTCACAATAAGAATGAACGCTGGAGCCTCCATGAGGAAATAATGCATCGCTACTCAGGAGGTCACTTCAAGGCCACCAGTTTGCACCCTTCAAATTTGGTTCCTCTCAAATGACAACCAGAGATAATTACAGGAGAGCATTCTTGTTGAAGTTGGGCACCTATGCAAATATTCAAGGACCTTGACTAATTCGGAGATTACTTTTTTCTAAGGCTGCCTTTTGAAACACAAACCCACTCCAGACACTTCTGTTTTCCTTGTCTCAGAGACAAAAGATTGAGTGAGTCTGGCTTTCCCTGATCTAATTTGCACTAAACTTAAATTTTTCCCTGATCTAATTTGCACTAAATCAATATACTGTAACCTGGGCTTTGACACGTCTATGACGAGAGAGCTATAAAAAGAAGATAGAGGAAGGACAAAACTAAAAGAAGATCCTGCTAAATAAGCTAAATTCTCCTGCATTAGGAGGCAATTGGTGAATGGAGAGGAGGTGAACAGAAGCTAGAGGGTTTATGAACTTGGCTGTCTTTAAAAAATAAAGGGCAAAGAAGATTTGGTGTACGAACTCTGCTTGCCAGTTTCAGATGTGCTGATGTAGGTAGAAATTCCTGCATGCCCTTCACGCTTTCAGGGATATTTACCATAATATCCAAAAAAAGAAATTCCTGCATTTCCGGTGCAGGTTTTTGTGTGCAGGTTCAATAACAATTATTTCTGTAAAAACTCATACTATCACCTTTCATGCAAACTTAAAAACATATTCAATACAATTAAAAAGCACACACACACCCCAAAACCCAGATGATATAAAATGAAATAATAACATGATTCTTGAAGTAAACAATGGTCATGAGTAATGGTAGAGCATTTTTCTATTTGGAGATGTGAGCATCGTCTATTCATAAGCCCAAGTTGTCCTGCTTGGGATAAAAGTGCATCTCATTAGCAGAAACAAAAATCCAGACGACCACTAGCTGGCAGCAAAGACCCTGAACAAGTCAACCTTTGTTCAAAGTTAGCTGAATAATGCCAACAAACTGAAGGACTGGCAAACACACATTCAGCAGTTAACAGCTGGACATCAAAAGTTTTTCACTACTTGAATTCTCTCAAATGGACACTCCTTTGTCCTCCTCTTGAATTTGTCACTCCACTACTTATTCCTTGGGATGAGAGGGAGAACCTTCTCTATTCTTAGGGAGCAGCTCCATGGGGTTCTTCCTATAAGGAGCAACAACTTCCTAACTGACCCCTGGAATTTCAGAAGGAGCCCACTGCTCAGAGATTTCTACCTTAACAAGCTCCAGATCTTCTTCTGAAGAATCCTCAAGAAATGATATAACACAAGTCAAGAACTGAAGCCCTATCTCACCATCACTCATCATCAGAGGTTGAAATAAGAGAACAGGAGACAAATCAAACACTGCTGGTGCTTTAGCCCTGTTGCATAAACTGGGCTACAAGAGAAATATGTAATGGTATGTGGGAATGACCTTGGGAAACAGGAGGGAGAGCCGCAGGCCAGATAGCCGGCATGTACAAGATATCTCAGTCCACAAAAGGAGAGGAGGAGGTGTGGGAAGCATTTCAGGAGGGGCCCTCCCTAGTTTTCCAGAGAGTAAAAGGAAAGGAGGGGAGAAATGCTTTCAGTCTTGCAAGATTCTGTTAATGTAACCTTACCATATAGACAGAATTTGTGCTTCTTTCCTGGACTACCTCGCAGGGCTAACAAAATGTGCTTTTCCAAGAAATATAGCAATTTGTCATCTCTCTGGTCTTTGATACCTAATGTATCATTGTCAATGTATCAGAATCTAAGGCAGCTGAGTTCAAAAGCAGCCAGTGTGGTTCTGCTCCAACTGTAATTGCAAGACCTGATTCTATAAGAAGTGTCTTCTCTGGCCTGTTCCTCCTCCTCAAATGAACTTCCATGTGAGGAGACCATGATAATGTCTATGGACACCACATCACCAATCTCAACTTAATACAAACTTTAAAAACTTGGGGGAGTGATTGTTTTGAACCAAAAATGGAGGGTGAATCTGTGATAAAACATAATAAAAATGTTTCCAGATTCCAGAAGAGGATAAACACAATGAAGTACAGAGAAGTAGCTGGAGGAACAGGTCTCAGAGGGGTTGGGTGATTGCTCAGGGTAAGATACTGGGCAAGTCTAGAGAAGTAGTATGAGAAGGGAAAAGTTAAAAAAAAAAAAAAAAGTTTGTCCAGGTCTTTTGATCAGCTGCAGATTGCTGGGGAGGGTTGTTAAAGGTGAGTAAACCAGCTTTCAGGGAATCTCTAGGAGTCTACAAGAAACTCTTTAGATAAATACCTAAACTTTGCAGAGCCAATTATCCAATCCAAGAGAGGGGAACCTGTACCATCAGCTCAGCCTGGGGTATATTGGGCAAAATAAGAGAGCCTACTGAGGGATAATGTAGAAGTGTTGGTACATCTTATAGATAGTGGAGATTTTAGGCAGAGAGAACTGAGGAGCTAAGGTGAATAAGCCAACCCCACTTTTCCAAGATTCACCTTATTTGGAACAAGGAGAACTAAAATCTCCAATTTATAATACTTGCCCTAATTACACTCCTTATCTTGATTTTCAAGGACTGGTCAAGGGCAGACAAGCAATTGAGAAAATAATATTCATTATTTGTTTATTTGAGCGGCCTTTATATGTAAAGGCATATGCCTTTATATATCTAATGCTCCTGCCTCCTATTTTCCCCAGAGTAAGCACTCCTTGAGGTGAGTTGGGCTGAGAGAGAGTGACTGACCCAAGGTCACCCTACTGGCTTTCATGCCTAAGAGAGGACTAGAACTCATGGTCTCCCGGTTTCTAGTCCAGCATTTCAGCCACTATTCCAATCTAGCTTTCTTCTGCATAAGAATGCAGAAGACTAGGTAGATGGGAACAAAAGGACCTATTTAGCCCCTCACTTTGGGCTTGGCCCCACCCAAATTCTCTGTTTTGAACCAGTGTTGGTTTTGTTCAGAAAGGGCTTTGGAACAAAGCTCAACAGAATTTGAATTCAGACATAGACATGAAATTTGAGCTCTCTTCTCTTGTAGCCTAGATCTTTATCCAAAAGTTATACAGCTGAAGGGAAAATCCATAGCAACACATTGTGGCATTTTTAAGGGGGAAGGCGATAATGCAACTGTCTAAAGAGAATTGCAAGTCTTGCTTATTTGTTGAAAGAACTTATATGGGGACTATTCCACTTCAATTGCTAGTTATAAGCAACACCTTCAGTAAGAATTTCTTGTCCTGTATTGCAAAGAGACATTTATTTCCACTACAGTAGCTTGCTTTTTTTAAAACTTCAATTAGGGGCCACATCATATAAATGAGTCTTGAATGAAACTTATATCATGTGGTCTCAACATGAAATGTGCCCAAAGTCCAAAGCTAACAAAACGATCAGCTGTTGGTTCAACTAATGTGGCATTCACTCCCTATTCATAAGTGCCAGGCCAAAACATAGCAGGAGGGGTTCATGAAAAAGCAGTTATGTTTTCCTCTTTGGCCAAATAGCACTGAGGATGTGAACACAGTGAACAGTGACGTAAACACATAATAGTATCGGTTATAGCACGTGGCAGCACCTGGTGACCTTGGCTGATCTCCATAAAGCCAAGCAGGATTGGACCTTGTAGTACTTGGATGGGAAACTACTAGAAAAGCCCAGGATTACACCCCAGAGAAAAGACTAAGACTAAAAATTTGAAAAATCGGTCCACAAGAAGGGGCAATAGCAAGCCTTTTATAATGCTGCCAAGAAAACAACACATATATGTCCATCAATAATTTAAAAAAACCAAGGTGAAATATAAACATCCCTTGCAAATTAAAAAAAATAATAATTAAGGTATTAGGAGAGGAACATTCTGAATTTAGCTTCCTCCATTAGGTACGTATTTTCTATATACAACAATTTGTATTTTTTCTTTCCTCCCAATCTAATTTTACATAGTACGCCTTATTCATCCCATGCCTCTCTGCTCAGGTGTAGATCAGCTCCAGTGCTTACCCTCAAATCAGGAGAAAAGTTTTCTGTAGAGGTGGAGATAGAATCCGACGAGATAACCGAAGCTGATTTGGTATGTGCTGAGTGATCCGAATGAGAGGTGGAAGCACTAGAGAAACAAGGATGAGAAAAAGAAGAAAAAAATAGAAACTGTTTGATTTTGTAGAGTTGTGTAGACCAAAGAACCCTTTGCCCTCCTATCTGACTGCACTCAGGAACAAGCGGCGCTTAAAGCTTTCAACAAGGAGGATATGGAGAAATTCTCCCCTGAAATGACAATATCTATTAGATGCCATTACGACACTCATTGCCCCAAAAACATGAACTGAGCTGGTGTATTCAAGCACACTGAATTAATTGGTCTCCCATAAGCACAGTCCAACCTGTAGTGGACTTTTTACAGTGATTTGGGAGTGGAGTAGCTGATGGTCTTTGATGGCCTTTGAGATCTAGGATTCTAACCACTAGACTAGTGTATCTCAACTTTGTCAACATTAAGATGTGTGGACTTCAGCTGCCAGAATTCCCCAGCTAGCAAGGCTAGCTGGGGAATTCTGGGAGCTGTAGTCCACACATCTTAAAGTTGACAAGGTTGAGAAACACTGCACTAGACTCTTCCATACCTTTGCTTAGGCGAGGAGAAACGGATATGTGAACTTTCAGATGTTGCTGAACTACAGTTCCCAATATCCCTCATCAATGATTATGTTGGACTTTATTCTTCTTCTTCTTAGCAATTTTTTCTTAGTCTTGCTATGAATCTTCCCACCTGTAAACCACAATATTGGTAACCAAAGAAACAACTTGTTAAACTACAACTCCCAACATCCCTTACCATGCTCATGCTTCCAGAGATTCTGGGAGCTGTAGTTCTAGCAACAACTGGAACACTACAGACCTATCCTTATTCTAGACCAGAGCTTTTCAACCTTGGCAACTTTAAGATGTGTGTACTTTATGCCGGCTGGGGAATTCTGGGAAATGAAGTCCACATATCTTAAGGTTGCCAAGACTGAAAACACTGGTCCAGATCTTTATACACACACGGTTTAACATGTGCAGTCTTACTCTGAATGTCACTCTTTACACCAGCCCCAACTTCAACTGCTAAAAACAGGGCACTACCAACATGATGGTTACTCTTGGATTTCTAAATTGTGTGCAATGCTTAGACATGTAGATGTCCATTTTTGAAACAACCTGCAGAATATGTAAACTCTATTCCTTACACTTTTTTCTGCCCACATTAAACTCCCAGAAGATGCAGCCAATGATGGAGAATATTGGGACTTACAGGATGTCAGGATTATGTTTGTGTGTCTTTAACCTATGGCAGGAATATGGAATCAGATGTTCTCTTGATGTTTTGGATTACAACTTCCATATCCCTTTGCTATTAGTTATGGGAGCTGGGGATGAGATTAACTCACGTTCAAAATATCTGAAGGGCACCATGTTTGATTGTGACAGAGCAACTAAGCTACCTTTCTGAAATGGAAACAATTAGTGTGTTAACATGACTCTGGATTTAATTGCTGGATTCATCCTGGAGAAGGTCTTTCTTGGTGGTCACTAACAGTCAACACTAACTTGATGGCAAATAATCAATAAGACAATCAACCAAACTGCTGTATAGATTCTTGGATATATGCCCAGGTTTTGGACTCTTATCAATATCAAGAATTATGCATTTGGGAGTATGGTGTTGCCTAAAAAATTATTATGCAACATTGAAAGGAGAAATCTAGAGTTGATTTACAGCAATGGATTGTTGGTACCTGTTGTTTGTCAACATTTTAATTGCCTTTCTTTTTGACAAGAGAGCAAGAAATAAGACATTCAAGTGATAAAATCAACGTTTTTAGCATTATTCTGTTTACAACAAAATTTCCAGGCTCTTTCTCCCTTTTTATTGCTTTTCTTATCTGAGTTTATTTTGATCTTTAGTACTGTCATATGTATTTCTATTTTTTCTTGTGTTGATTAGGATAATGATGTGTTTTTTTAAAAAAAAGATGAGATAAAAATAACATTTTAGAAATTAAATGATAGGGTTCTCATATATATTATTAACCCCGTCCCCTGCCACCCTATTTGCCTGAATGACATTTACAGTATTTTTAAGAGGATGGTTCAGCCATATATAGCTATATGTACATATTTTTCTGTACTCATAGACACATGTGCTTTACAAGCAATAAAAAAGTGTCTATGTATTGCATTTGAGTGAGCTTTTTCTAAAAACATCCACAAACAAATATTTTTTTTTGAAAGACTGGAAACCTTATATGGACTTTTTGCTGAAAGAAGAAAAAAATGAACTGATAATTTATGGATTTGAAGATTAAAAAAAGATGAGGATTAAAGGAAGGGGTGAGGGGATTTGCAAAATATTTAAGAAGGAGGACAGACAATAAGATTGCAATTATCTGTTGAAAAGAAGGTCGCAAGTCATTTATATAGTTCTTAACTTTAGTTTTCTTTTTCTTGCACTTTTCTTTCTTTCTTTCTTTCTTTCTTTCTTTCTTTCTTTCTTTCTTTATATTTGTCTTTATTATATGAAAATTCTTAATACATATAAATTTTAAAAAATAAAAACATCTATTTTGTGTTGGCCATTGTCGTACAATAGTCCGCAGTGTTCCAAGGACTGCTCATATATAATTGGTTGGTTTTTGTTTTTATTTTTAATGTTGGTGGCCAGGGAGAAGAGCCCAAGTTAAAAGTCAGTCTGTGTGAGCTGCTTAGTAAACAAAGCTCTGATTGTTACACTCCAAGAACAGAAAACTAACCAGCCATTGAAATGCAACACACTGTTTCCTATGGAACAACCTTCGGTTGCTGTTGAATCATGCTATTCATGAGTCAAAACGGCCTAAACCCACCCTTTTGGTACTGGCTGTAGAATTCCATTCCCCTTAAGAATCTTCTTTTTCTCACAACATGGGGAAAAAGACATCGTACCAACAAAATCTGATTAGGAACTTTAACTTGAAGAGTATGCAGCAATGGCGAAATTAACAGTATATATACCCATAACAGAAGTGTAACTAAATTTAACCAAGAATGCCTTCCATGTATATTATAAATCATGCAGCAAGGCAAATACAAACACTTAGAGTATGCTTTCTAAAGTTTATGTTCATAAACACTATAAATCAGTTGGAATACAATGAAGGGGGAAGTCAGAAACCAAATACTTATCTATGCTATTTTTAGTAGGGTTTTTTTCTCTCTCTATTTTAAACTGGTTTTTCCTCTTTTCTTCTTTTTTAGCATTTATAAATAGCAAGACAGCGGAGATTTTGGCACTAAGCTCAAAGATTTATATGCGTTTTTAGACCATAAAAATGTACTTTGTCTGGTATGATCAATCTTTTATTAATGTTATACTGAGCATTAATTGTGTAACTTTAGTAATTTTCTTTGTCTACTTATCGATAATATATCTTTTGAAATCATATCTTTGTTTTAAATAAGTGAATAATTTTTTTAAAAAAGATTTTTTTCCCTTTTCAATTATCAGGAAGCAAGTTGCTAGACCATAAGGAACTGACAATATGCTTGAGTTTACAGGCAAGAAAGTGAGAATAGGACTAAACTGCCTATATGGATCTGGTACTGTTTTTTCTCCTTTTAAAATCAAAAGACAGAGATTTTGGCAGGGCAGAGGACAGAAAAGGTATTTAATCTTTTCCTTGCCAACTGTATGTGTAAAATTGGCCCAGCTTCTTGCCCTGAGTTTTCCAGGATGTCTACCCCTCCCCACCTCCTCATTACGGTTCTCCCGTTTTTTTCTTCTTCTGACTGGTTTTACATCACGGAAAATCTGTTAGGAAAAAAACAACCACCAGGTTTTCTGCAGGGATTTCCAACTGTTACCTCTTAGGGCTACCAACTGAGGAGCATTGATCATATAGGTCTTCAAAGTGTTGGTTTAACCTTTTAAACCTAAATGCTTTTAAACCTAAATTAAACCTTAATTTCTGGTTACTTGAATGCCTGCGGAATAAGATCTGCAGAGAAGGCCTTTGAGAAGATTGCAGGACAGGACTTTTGCCTTTGCCAGAAGGTATCCTCTTAGGAGTTGCATTGGTCCCTCGCTTCCTTTGTTCAGATCTCAGCTTTTTAACCAGGTACTCAGAACTGATTTTTACAGTGGTACAAAGATATATTTATATATTTCAATGATTAGTTCCCCCTGCTCTGCTTTTGGATCCCTTTATTAGCTGTGTTGATCATCCTGGTTGAATAGAAAAGGTAGGAGCTTAATCCAAACAAATAAATAATAAAGAAATATTTCCTCTTTAATGGATTTTCTGTGCTAAGCACACACACAAAGGCAGATACAAGTAATGATGAGAAAATGCAGGTTACTCAATGGGAAAAAAAATCCTCACCCTATTCATAAAGAAGGGAAACTGCACCCCAAAATTCCCTCTTACTTGCCATTTAATTAGGCATAAACATCCCTCATCTGAAAGTCCAGGTTAGAAGGCAACTTTCTAAGGCTCAGCATTAACACACTTGCACACACTTGCACAACAGAACATCTTGGATCAAATCTTCATTATAGAACATTACGCTCTATCCCAAAATAGAAATACAGATGGCTTGTTTTCTATGCATCCTACACATGGCATTAGAATATAGAAGAACCGTGAGTCCTCTTGCCGCCATCCACCCAGTCTGCACCTTGTTGAATGCTGCTGTTTTACTTCTTGAAAAACAACAACAACCCTTTCAAACCTAATACAATATTCAGGTTTTAGACATCAGTTACATTCCAGGAGTAAAAGGAATGCAACTGCAGAACTAGGTGAAACCAAGACACGTAAATATAAATGGCACTAAGGAACAGGTTACAATAGTCCAGAACATTTAACCCAGGTCTGGCAGCAATTCACCATCTCCAGAAAATGATCTGTCCATTCAGATACCCTTATGCCAGATGTTTTATACTGGAAAAGGCCTGTCCTCTACTAAGAACTATAGATCCCCATCTTCTCATTCCATAGAAAAGTGGGCTCGGGGCCACCACAAGCACGTTGTGCACTGCACAAAGGTGCCATAATGGGGGGTTGGGGCGCCAAATTAAGTTTAAAAAAGC